GTGGGATGGGTGCGAGGGTTGGGGGAGGGCAGTGGGAACAGCTTTTAAGAAAGCGCAGTGCCATCAGGGTGATTTGAGGAGTGGTAAGACAGCCTCTGAAGTATGGGGTATGAAATGGAATTAGCAGATGCCCTATTCACTTTCCTTTCTGTAGACAAATAGCAGCATGTGTTACACTTTGTCGTTCAGCCTCCTTTTCCCCTTAATCTACTTTGGATATCTTACCAAGGCAGTTAGAGCCACGTTTTCTTTTTCTTTGTAGGGCTCCATAGCAATTAATTGTTTCTGGTCTTTTGCTATTACAAATAATGCTATAATAACCTCTTTCATATGTCATTTCACATTTGCTGAGAATATAGCTGAAGATTAAATTCCGAGAAGTGGAATTACTGATTCAAAGAGTAAGTGCTTTTATAATTTTGAAAGACATTTCCATATCCTCTTCAGAACTTGTATCAATTTATACTTCTGTCAGCTATATAGGTGAGTGCCTCCTTCCCCAGAAACTTGCCAACTGACAAAGTATCTCAGTGTGGTTTAACTTGCATTTCTTTTATTATACATGAAGGTCAGAATATTTTCATATAAAAATAGTAAATAGGATTGTTGGACATTTAAATGAAATTTGTGTATAGCACTCAACATTGCCTAGCACATAGCAAGCATTCAATAAGTTATTGTGTGATGGGTGACCGTCAGAGCAGCAGGTAGGACAGGACAGATTAAATTAAGAAAATGGTATTCATTTCCATGTCTCCAGGCACAGGGAGCCTTGTTCACTTACGTTGCTGTTCATCAGAGAAACACAAAGAGCTTTCCTTGTCTCAGAAGAGGAAAGAGCCCTTTCCCATTGGAACCCAATCATAGGCTATTGGCAGAGCTGGCAAAGGGTGGGCACAGCCTCCTCTCTTAATATTTAGACTTAGCCAATATGGTAAATTTGGTTTAGTGTAAAACAAAAACAAAAGAGCCCAGATGTACATTTCTTTATTCTGTTGTGATGGTAAATTCCCAGCTAGCCAAGGTTGGGTCTCTACTTGTAAACTCAGGAATGCCAGCCAGCCATTTTATGAAGGGAAGAGGGCAGAGGCTCCTGAGTAGAGAGGAGAAACAACATAGGAAATCTGGCTTCCCCCAAACAAAACTACACTGTATTTCACAAGCTAGAAAGTAGACCTCTTTATTTTTAGCACATCAAATCGGAGAAATGTCTTTCCTGTAAGGAGCAGTATGTATTTAATACAGGTGTTCTGAGACAGGAACCCTGTCTTATGGTAGCCCTTGTGCACTGCTGGGTACATTTTGAATATTTACTCAAAGCTACTGAATATTTTCTTTAGACTTGTATAAATCCCTGTCTCCCCCCTCCCCCACTCTTTTTCTCGATTCCCTAAATTTTTAATATTTCCCTCTTGCTTTCTCAGGCTCCTTGCTCCCTTTCATTTGTGTCTCTTACACTCGGCAAGCTAGTATCAGTCTTGCTTCTCTGAGATGA